GGGAAGGGCGCCGGCCCGGTGCCGTGTGCCACCATGGGGCCCGGGGAGCCCGCGCCCGACGTTGGCACCGCGTCCCCACTGCGCTGTGTCCCCGAGGGTCCCCCCGCGGTGTCGTGGTCCCTGGCTGCCCGCTGGCATAGCTGCCCACCCGCCTTCCGAGTGCCACGCGAAGCTTGCTGCGTGCCTGCAGAGAATTATCCAGAAGAGGAGCAGAGGGAGCCGAGCCACCTCTGCATTTGTTAGAGAAATGCTGAGGAGGTTTCTGTAACGCGTTTGGACGCGGAAGCGTTTTGTCTGTGATTTGGTGGGCTTCCGACTTTCGTGTTAATGCATTAGTACAGAAATAATACTTGAGACGAACGCTTGCTGTTTCGTCTTCAAAGCAGTAGGTTTTGGCGTGGACGCAGTCTTGTTGAACGGGTAGATGTAGCCATTCCTTGCCAGTTCGTGATGTTACTTCCTCCTGGACATATCCATTGCCTTGTATGTGACTGCCAAGGTATGCGAAGTGACTCACTTGCTCCCTTGTCTTATAAAGAAAATGGAGCTTTAGGCTTTCTTAGGATACTGTACAGAAGTTTCAAACATTTGTTAGTGGCCTGAGATGAATTATGATACGGCACAGCCTCTGTTCGGAGGCAGAAGGGAAAGCTAGCTGTGAGACAGACGTGAAATTAGTGTGCCGCAGATTGAAAATGTCTTCATCCAGACAGACGTGTGAGCCCAGGTCTTGGGCATCCGGTCGTGGCCGTGGTTCATGGAGCAGTCAGACATAAGATCCTGCTGATGCAGAGGGCTGCTCCGTGTGTGCTGACGGGGTTAAACACGTGCGAGAGCTGGGGCTGAGTATGTGGGGGAGTTGGGGCCACCACCCTGCCTCTGTCCCAGCAGACCCTTGATGTAAACCTGCATTTATTGTGGAGATGGTCAGTGAAACCCCCTCCTCGCAGGGCGGCCCCGTCACCGCTGAGCTGAGGCCCCTCTCCTGTCCTCTGCCAGCACGGAGGGTGCAGGATTTAGGTGCTGAGACCCACGGGGGGTGTCCGCCCTGCTCACTGTGGGTGGAGGACGGGTGCAGAGGACCAGCTTGCTTTGCCTTGTCTAACTCTCAGTCCCTGTAGTACAGATCAGAAAAATCATTGACTGCTGCTACAGATATGTACTTTTTAGTTGCTGGAGGAGACTTCTCCTGGGAATGTATCCAAACAGCGTGGCGTTTCTGCAGCCCTTTGGCAGGGACATAAAAGATTTGTAATCTTAAAGCTGTCAGAATTTGAAATTTCAGAAGCACTTGACCATTTGTGAATGTTGAATGGCTGAATGATGCAGTGTGCCTGAAGAGGGTGGTCAATGGTCAGGAGCTTTTCTGAGACGTTTCTTGCTTTCCGTGGTGCCTGATTCAGAACTATTTCTCTCTCTCTTTTCTGTTGTTTTTCTTTTATGCGCATGCTGACGATCTGTTATCAGCCGAGCAGTGAAAAGAAACACAGAGTCTTTATCTCCACTTCACAT